GGGGGGGGGGGAGGTCACCAAATGCACAAATTTTTCCGGACATACAGTAACATAATTTTTTGGTTTGCATAACATTATTTTGTGAAATTTTTACGTTTTGCCCGAATGACGCATGGATTTCTGCCTGACCGTGAAAATTTTGGGGGGTCTGTGCCCCCCGGCCCATACGCTTATGGTTGCAATGACTAGATTCACCACTGGCAGTATTATAATTATACATACAAAAGCAAGACGTTATAAGCATTGAATATTTAGCTGACCTTTGACCTTGTGCAAGGTGTTTGATATTCAAATTGCACTTTTCCTACCTACTGAACAGGTGTCTTAGGGAATAGATTAGGGGCTATTTACATGATGGAAGATGGGATGTCATGATTTTGATGTACTGAAATAAGTCGGTAGGCTAAACAAAAGTTAAAATGCTGATTAAGAGAATTCAAATATTGTAGAGAAGATCTTGTAGTTCCAGAAGATTGTTATTACATTTCATTTACAGTACAGTTAACTAAATTTATCTCCAGAAAATAATGAAGTTCTTTTGCTGAATTGTGCACTGTGACTTGTTTCAATACATCAAAATAACCCCGCCTCACATCTCTTTATGGCAAAGCGGGATCATATATAAAACAGCCCTCTATTCCGCAAATTGCACATGCAGCCTTTGATCCCTTGGGGGTGAGGCAGCACTTTCCTTGCGACAGTAACTTCTAGTTATAATATACCTTATGTGGTCTGAGGTAAGGATTGGCCTTTTCTGTCTGTTGCATGCATTGACGTCAACCCCACAGTCAATCAAAATACTCACAACCTCCTCTTCTTTCATTTTCAAATACGGTATAACTTTTTACTTCCTGTGTATTTCTGATCAGTGCGTGATGCAATGGTATTTTAGCGATTTGAACACAGAATAAACACTTCCAGAAGTCCGACCCATTCAAATATTAAACTGGAATAAATTAGGGGGGGGGGGGGATTGAAGACGCGTGCTTTGTAGGTAGTGCCGGTCCCTTTTTACAGAATTTTGTTAAAAAATAACTTTTTATATTTTTATTTTACTCCTTTAATTTTTTTCTTCCTTTCCTTTTTCATCTTAGAACATACTAGGACAGTTAAACTTTTCACTCAAGTAGGCCTACTTACAATAAACAAAAATCGTTTAATAGACCTTTCCCCTTATAACTAAAATTTTGATCTAGACAAGTCTAGACAAAAATTTCATCACAGCTTGAAAGAGCATCACAAAATTAGTAATCTTCCGAGGTTTCGTTGCGAAATGTTGTCAAATGTGGATAATATAGCCCTGCGAAATTTGCAATTTTCAGTCATTTTGCATTACAAACGGGAAATTGATGCCCCAACACCCGACTGGGCTGTCAATTTCCCGTGCGTAATACAAAATGACTGAAAAACGGCAAACTTCGCAAGGCTATATTATCCGCATTTTACAACATTTCGCAACGAAACTTTGGAATATTACTAATTTTGTGATGCTCTTTCAAGCTGTGATGAAATTTTTGTCTAGATCAAAATTTTAGTTGTAAGGGGAAAGATCCATTGCTGAAAAATTACAGGACCAAAAGGGAAAAACAACATTTGTCAAAATTCTGCGCGAAAAGTTTCGGTTTTTCTGAGTTATTGGACCTTATTTCTAAGAAATAATTCGGAGATATTATAACAATTTATGTAGAAAAATATTAGACGTACTAAAAAATTGATTTTTAAGCATGCATTAACTTATTTCTGATAATTAAAATAATGATTATTAAAGCTGGCTTTGCTGCCATATTCAAGGTGCACATAATCACCAACAAAAAGGGCATGCAATGCCGAAAATAACACCACTTGAATAACGTCAATTTATTCATGTTTTAGAAGGCATAAAACAAGGACTAAAAGCTCAGGATAAATAACAACACCTGAAGTTTATGGCACAAAGAAAAGTTTTGAGACGGTCAACTGAATGTTTTATATATCTTCTAGGCTTTTGTGAGTTGTCTCAGTTGTATTACATCTATTTAACCATGTAACTTTTTACCTCCTCTCTACTGTTAGCTAAAGCGCAACTTAGTGGCGTTTGGCCTTTATCATCTTGGATATTTGCGTTAATGCGACGTTCATCACCAAGGGCAAGGCCAAGGTCAAGGAGTAGTTTTGCAAACTACAAGTGCACCCAAGTATATAGTATTCATAAATCATAAGCAATATATGAAATCACAGACAGAGCATTTATTATATACAAGAATAATAAATGTAATATTTGTAGTTATCCATAAATTTTAAGCTTTAAAGTTTTTATTGCTAAGCATAACTTTAGCGAGGTCCAGGAGGGGAGTACCCTGGGTGCCAGAGGTTCTTCCACGCTCGTAGGGGGGGATAATGAGGGATACACGAGGATTCAAGCTGGGCGGAGGCGAGCGGGAAGAACCTCTGGAACACTTCTATGGCTTTTACTGTTTTAACTGTCACATGTCAATCAAACGTTAGCCAATAGGACACGTATTTATTTTTGACTGATGATGATTTGGGCGTGTTCAACCGAACATTTGAGCGATGGAAATTGCGACAGAATGTGTCAATTTCAAAACAAAAAATTAAAATTAGCGAGTCTTTATAGTAAAATAAACCGAATAATATTATATGGCCACATGGCATTAGAACGTACACCTGTTAAAAGTGTTACAAAAAAAGCGGAGACAAGAATTGTCGAGTTTGTGGTGAATTTGTTATTCACAGTGGGTATTTTAGTATATACAGTAAAAGGATCGTCGCCTCGGTAGATTGAACTTTGAAGCATTTCTTGTTCATCATATAATACAAACGAATATTTGCAGTCCAAGGCCCTGTTTATATGGAGGCGAGTTACTCTGCAATTGGCGAATAAAACTTATCTAATGATTCGTATGTATTTTTGAACAATATATTATATTTCAAATGCAAAGCACATACATTTATACACATACATTCGATCTCGGGCGGCCGAGTTAACAAATACCCGAACATCTTTTGTTTAATATTAATATGATATTACTATTCATCTCGCCGAAGGCAGTATCTCGCCTCTTTCTGCCGGGAACTTGTCACTGGCGAGTTTATACTCTTTACTACATATAAACAGTCCCCCGGGTTTACTACTGTATAAGTTTCTATAATATAGCCGGGATCTTGTCGTTGACGAGTATAAACTCGACTTGCCGGGTAATTCGCCTCGATATAAATAGGCCTATAAAGACTCCCATCTTGTCTTGACATGCTTGATTACTAGACAGCCACGCACACGAAATTCCCTCTTGGCAATATAGCAAACATATCACGGCGATGCATTAACTGAAACACAGAAACAAGGCATCATCTTGATGTTTATTTAGTTTTGTAACACCGTCCAGTAAAAAAAATCAAAATCGAATCAACCGCGACCGAGTTGTTGAAATCCTCTCGCAAGACTCGCAAAACTAGAGTCATATATATTTACGCCTGA